CATCAAGATCTCCCGATTTATCCCCAATTGAGCACGTGTGGGATATGATGGGTAGGAGATTGCTCAATTTGTAACGTCCTCCTCAGACTCTAGAAGCACTTCGAGAGGAGTTGGTGGTTGCCTGGAATGAGATACCACAGGAGGACATTGACCACCTGATCAGAAGCATGCCTAGGCGCGTTGGAGAATGCGTAGCACATCAGGGTGCATCCACACATTATTAAAGGTCAACGGGCTTTAAAGCAGTGCAATCAGTTTGAAATTTTTATCATTTACTTATTATGCTTCATTAAGTACTTATACAAAATTTTATTAAAATAAAACCATTTAAACTGGGTGTTCGGATTTATATGTCACTTAGTATATTTTGAGTATACTTTAATGCAATAATAAAATTTTCGAGACATCTCAAATGGTTTGCGTTTTATCTGAAAAGAAAGTTGTCAAGTCCTTAATGGAAAACCCGTTATAAAGATGACCGAAAAACAATGTTATCAGATTTTTTTGTCAAAAATGCATTTTTTCAATTTGCTTCAAATTGAGCTTGACGATAAAATTGACAATAAATTGCACAAAAAAATTAATCACATTGTTTTTCAGTCATCTCTATACACACCATAATCAGATGAAAAGTTTTTAGAATGCTGCTGCAAAAGTCAGTTGAAAAAACCAACATGCGACTAACGTGATTTGTTTGTAATTTATTTTGTCGCGATATAAAAAACATTACTTAATGCCCTTCAAATGCATTTCTCTCCTACAGACTACAGATGCTGAAACGTTGTCGGAGCTAATGGTTAAGCATATAAGGTTTTAATTTGGGATCAGATAAAGTACGACGCACTGGGAACACCACTAAGGGCCTGTGACATTATGACAGCTTCCAGTATTACTCTAATCAACAGGAAAAAAACATAATGTAATTATCAGCTAATCCATGTAGAAGAATGTTACCCCTCGTCGTCAGGTTATCAACAGATGTAACACCAATTTAATATTCTTTGATAGGACCGGTTACAAGTCATTATCGAGACACGAAATCATCTTCCACCTGACAGCGGCAGTGCCGGTGACTGTCAAGGTACCATCCTTTTCAGGAATTCGAGAAACAGGTAGACCAGACACCAGGTACACAAAAGGAAGATAAATGTTATTATGATGACACCTTGCTGGTTACATGTTGATAATTTGACAATATGAACCCGCAGAATACAATGAGGTACTACCTAGCCAACCACCGGATAATTTGTCACAACAGAATTTTAGGATATTTCCTCGTCGTTGCGGTATTGGGAGATAATTGGATGAGCTATTCTACAGCTATTCGCAAGTGTTATTGTTGAGGATTAAGGACTCAAAGTCACTTTATCCACTCTCTGATTGCATCTTTCAAGACGGTAATTGCGCCTGGACGAGAATTCATAGAAATACCTCAAATTTTCATATGTCCATAGAAGTGTGGTTATACATGTTTACGAGTATACGAACTTTGAATGAAATCCACTGCTTCGGGCGGCACGTCCCTTTTTTATATTTCTTTTCAACTACCTCTTTGCAGCAGTATCCTAAATTCTTTTCATCTGATAATTTCATGGTGTGTATAGAGATGACTAAAAAACATTGCTTTAATTTTTTTTGGTAAAAAATGCATTTTTTGTGCATTCTTTCTTCAATAGGAACTTGTTACCAAATATAAGTACAGCTCTGAAATTGTGTGTGAATATTCCTCTTTTATGGAAGAATAAAACGCTGTCACCAGTTCATAAGTATTGTGTCCGCCACAACATACAGGGTGAGTTTTTAGTGTGGGCTTTGTACTTCAGAATGAATAAAATGGGTTCTCCAATTTATACAAAAACATCTATTTAAAAAACAAATGTATATCATAAAACGCATCACCAGTTCATAAAGTATTGTGTTCGCCACAACATACAGGGTGAGTTTTTAGTGTGGGCTTTGTACTTCAAAATGAACAAAATCGGGTCTCCAATTTATACAAAAGCATCTATTTAAAGAACAAAAGTATTCCGTAAAACGCTATCACAAGTTCATAAAGTATTGTGTCCGCCATAACATACAGGGTGAATTTTTAGAGTGGGCTTTGTACTTCAAAATGAACAAAATCGGTTCTCCAATTTATACAAAAACATCTATTTAAAAAACAAAAGTATATCATAAAACGCATCACCAGTTCATAAAGTATTGTGTTCGCCACAACATACAGGGTGAGGTTTTAGTGCGGGCTTTGTACTTCAAAATAGACAAAATCGGTTTCCCAATTTATACAAAAGCATCTATTTAAAAAAAAAGTATATCGTAAAACGCTATCACCAGTTCATAAAGTATTGTGTCCGCCACAACATACAGGGTGAGTTTTTAGTTTGGGCTTTGTACTTCGAAATGAACAAAATCGGTTTTCCAATTTATACAAAAGCGTCTATTTAGAAAACAAAAGTATATCGTAAAACGCTATCACCAGTTCATAAAGTATTGTGTTCGCTACAACATACAGGGTGAGTTTTTAGAGTGGGCTTTGTACTTCAAAATGAACAAAATCGGTTCTCCAATTTATACAAAAGCGTCTATTTAAAAAACAAAAGTATATCATAAAACGCTATCACCAGTTCATAAAATATTGTGTTCGCCACAACATACAGGGTGAGTTTCTAGTGCGAGCTTTGTACTTCAAAATGGACAAAATCGGTTCTCCAATTTATACAAAAGCGTCTAGTTAAAAAACAAAGATATATCGTAAAACGGTATCACCAGTTCATAAAGTATTGTGTCCGCCACAACATACAGGGTGAGTTTTTAGTTTGGGCTTTGTACTTCAAAATGAACAAAATCAGTTTAACAATTTATACAAAAGCGTCAATTTAAAAAACAAAAGTATATCGTAAAATGCTATCACCAGTTTATAAAGTTATTGTATCCGCCACAACAAACAGGGTGAGTTTTTAGTTAGGGCTTTGTACTTCAAAATGAACAAAATCGGGTCTCCAATTTATACAAAAGCGTCTATTTAAAAAACAAAAGTATATCATAAAACGCTATCACCAGTTCATAAAGTATTGTGTTCGCCACAACATACTGGGTGAGCTTTTAGTGTGGGCTTTGTACTTCAAAATGGACAAAATCGGTTCTCCAATTTATACAAAAGCATCTAGTTAAAAAACAAAGGTATATCGTAAAACGGTATCACCAGTTCATAAAGGATTGTGTTCGCCACAACATACAGGGTGAGTTTTTAGAGTGGGCTTTGTACTTCAAAATGAACAAAATCGGATCTCCAATTTATACAAAAGCATCTATTTAAAAAACAAAAGTATAACGTAAAACGCTATCACCAGTTCATAAAGTATTGTGTCCGCCAAAACATACAGGGCGAGTTTTTAGTGTGGGCTTTGTACTTCAAAATGAACAAAATGGGTTCTCCAATTTATACAAAAACATCTATTTAAAAAACAAAAGTACATCATAAAACGCATCACCAGTTCATGAAGTATTGTGTTCACCACAACATACAGGGTGAGTTTTTAGTGTGGGCTTTGTACTTCAAAATGACCAAAATCGGGTCTCCAATTTATACAAAAGCATCTATTTAAAAAAAAACGTATATCATAAAACGCTGTCACCAGTTCATAAAGTATTGTGTCCGCCAAAACATACAGGGCGAGTTTTTAGTGTGGGCTTTGTACTTCAAAATGAACAAAATGGGTTCTCCAATTTATACAAAAACATCTAATTAAAAAACAAAAGTACATCATAAAATGCATCACCAGTTCATAAAGTATTGTGTTCACCACAACATACAGGGTGAGTTTTTAGTGTGGGCTTTGTACTTCAAAATGAACAAAATCGGTTTTCCAATTTATACAAAAGCGTCTATTTAGAAAACAAAAGTATATCGTAAAACGCTATCACCAGTTCATAAAGTATTGTGTCCGCCACAACATACAGGGTGAGTTTTTAGTTTGGGCTTTGTACTTCAAAATGAACAAAATCGGTTCTCCAATTTATACAAAAATATCTATTTAAAAAACGAAAGTATATTATAAAACGCATCACCAGTTCATAAAGTATTGTGTTCGCCACAACATACAGGGTGAGTTTTTAGTGTGGGCTTTGTACTTCAAAATGAACAAAATCGGTTCTCCAATTTATACAGAAGCGTCTATTTAAAAAACAAAACTATATCGTTCCGTTTGAAGCTTCTGTGCCTTTTCTAAATATGTAAACAAAATTCAAAAATTACAGTGTGTTGTTTTAGGGTAAATCGGTTTTGTCAAAGTTAAACTAGTTCGGTCCTGTATTTCTTTTCCTGTTCGTATAGCAGTTTCAGAGAGAGGTGGTTAAAAAGTGGTGAGATAATCAAGGAATGCCAAAAATCGGTAAAACGCCTTCTATCTCGGTTATATCCATCAATCACAGGTGATTCATAAGCCTCTATCTACGGTTAAAATATGATGAAACACCCTGTATAAAAGATCCCTCACAATAAAAGAGTATATCCTGCTACTGACAACTACACTACTGGTTGCCGATATTGACGGTATCCCGTCTGCACATGCAAGAAATCATGGAATGATTAATTACGATTTTACATTTTTTTCTATTCCGAAGCAGCGCGTAGGCAGAAGTCTAAATACCAGGGCACCGCGGCTGATAGGAGCTTAAAGAAAATTAAGTAATCCGATGTTTAAACTGCCCAAGGTTAGTAGAACTATTACTCAATCTCGGTAAAAAAGGGCTAGATCGCCGACGGACCGTGGGCGCGAAAGGGTCCCGAAACTGTCCGCCAGAGAAGAGTCATCGATCAGTGGGCCAGCCCTCCTCTGAGAAGCATCGAGTATAGATAATATAGTCGGGGCGGCAGCACCCCAAACATGTAAGCAGTGCTCGAGGCTAAGTCCGCTTAGCCCTAAACAAATAGCTTAGCGTTTTCCCAGCAGCAGTTCAAAATGTTATTCAACATACGTATATATAAAAAAATAACTTACTTGGAAGCCACCCCTGTGATGGGAATGGTGAAACTGCGGTGTTTGGATCATGTCGTCTAGAAAATCGAATTCGTTGTCGGCTTCCTTAGCAAGGAGACTGTCTTCTGATGAAGCAGTGGGATCATCAGCTTTCTTTAAAGAATCAGACGATGTTACATTTGTACCTTCGGCTGATGTGCTTACGTTTGCTGCATCCAAGGATAGATTTTCTAAATCTTTCAGATTTATGTACCCCTCCTGTAACAAAAAACGCCATATAAAGAGTGTATTCAAACATGTAGGGCTGGTCCGTCCCTGATGAAATAAACGAGTCAACGGGCTCAGGCTTCCACCTTATAGTTAAATGAATTTTTCGATTGAGTCACCTAAGTACCACGTAGGTGCTCATTCCGATGTGTCTAAATGAAAAGGTCTTTTATATAAATAAACAAAAAGAAAAAATTCTGGGTAGCTTTTTTTCAAGTGTCAAAGTCTCGGGTGTTTTAAAAAAGTATGGAGTACTGGTCTAAGTAGTCCACAGAAAAGCTGTAGAGGATGAAAACGCCTTTAAAAAGAGACCTCATATGTCAATTTTTTTGCAGCGGCTACGTCGTTAGACACGTTGTAAATAATGATCAACACGAAAAAAATTATCGGAAATTATAAACTACCAGGCATAAGAGATATGGGATTTGACTGTAAATTTTAACGAGAATTCGTATAGTGACAGTTCATGTTGTGTTGCTCAAGTGTCTCAATGGGCGTAAAGCCCAAAAATGCTTTCTGTTGGGGATACAGGGTGTTAAGACCGCACGTCCCTTTTTTTCGCTTTTTTTTTAAACTACCTATTTGCAACGGTATTTTAAATCCTTTTCATCTGATTACTTCATGATGTTTATAGAGATGACTAAAAAACACAGTTTTTAATTTTGTTTTGTCATAAAATGCATTTTATTGTGGATTTTTTCTTTGATCGTAACTTGTTAACAAATATTAGTACAGAAATTGTAATGAATGTTCCACTTTTATGGATGAATGAAAGAAGTGTTTACTTTTATTCCTATCACTTTTTCTATTCCAAAATGTTTGCTTTTCTTAAAGACTCAACTGCGAGACGAGGCTTCACGAAAATCAAAGATTTTTCGTAAAGGAAAAGTGATAAGTACAAAAGTCATCACTTGTTTCATTCTTCCATAAAAGAGGAATATTCACACACAATTTCAGATCTGTACTTATGTTTGTTAACAAGTTCCGATTGAACAAAACATGCACAATAAAATGCACAAAAAATGCATTTTTTTTGACGCAAAAAAAAGTTTCTTAGTCATCTGTATACACACCATGAAATTATCAGATGAAAAGGATTTACGTATAGAATACTGCTGCAAACTCTTTATTGTAGACTCAACGATTTAATAAAAATAACATGAAATCACTGTAATAGAAAAATTATGAAAGATATTCAAAAACTATTTGCGCAGCAAGCTTGACATCTTATAGGTGCGTATTCCTCAATTATTTGGAAAGTGTTGTACAATTCCGTGGCACAATAAACATGTTCTTTTGATGAAACCCCTTATAAAAATTAGAAGAAACTTGTAAAAAGAAGAATCTGATAGTGTATAGGTTTTTCTATATATTTTTCTATGACTTTTTTCCCTTCCGGAAGTTGAAAAATCACCTCAAGCGAATTCATTTCGGGACAGTAAAAAATATTCAAACGGCTGTAACCGACCAGCTGAAGGCTATTCTAGTATCGAAGTTCCAGCACTGCTATGAGCTGTGGAAGAGCCGTCTCCAGCGCTGTGTCTCTTCAGAAGGGGGTTATTTTGAGGGTGAAAATATGAAACTGTAATCATATGTCATCACTTACTTTTTCAGACCTCCTAAAAATACATGCCATGTTCCATGATAACGTTGGCGTACTTTTTATCCACTAACTATATGAATTTTCTCTAAAATTGACCGGTGATCAAATTCAATGATTAGTTCCTTGTACTTTTAAGGAAGCGGTGAGCATTTTCGATGATTTTTTCCTGGATGTTAATCAGCACAAGTGATTAAAGTTTTGGGTATTACTTCATACTTTCCATTGTGCGCCTTTTGGTAAAAAAAAATAGAATTGAAATATGTCGATATGCCGGAAGGTATTTTCATGCTCTGCTGCTTTTCTGAAGCAGTTTTACCAATACTTGATAGTTTTTAACGTATGGAAAATATGTTAAAAAGTATCCCAGCAAATTTTTTGTATCTCTAGATGATGTCAAAATTTTAGCCGAATCGAACTCGTAGTTTTGTTTTGACCGCGTGTGGAAGCGATTCTTGTTTTTGGAAGGGAAGTCGCGCAGCGAAATCAAAGAGCGCTTGAATCATGGGTGATTCTACTATACAAGTGCATCGAGCTATGTTGAGAAATAAATCGGCACTTTTCCAAATATTTTGTTTTTCTTTTGTAGACAACGACCCTACTATATTAGAAACCTTGGTTAATTTGAGTTTGCAACTGTACCTCAGCAGCTTCATCTTCCAAGTCCACAAGCTTGAGTGCCTCGTCCAGGAAAAATTCGGGGAGCGGCAGCGAGAGGTCCCCAAGCTGTAGGTCACATGAAGGGATGCACTCTGCTCCAGAAAGGGTGTCGCTTAATTCTTCTTTTACTACATATTCCCCTATAAAGAAGTAAATGCACGTGGTTAAGGTACATGTGTTCGAATTCCACAGATAATAAGGACATGACTCATAAATGTTAAAAAACGGCGTCAAGTAGGTTGACTCTGCACTTCCTTCTCAACGCCACCATCAGTTCATAAAGGATTGTGTTTATCACAAGTTATACCCTACGAGAAAAAAAGTTAGTTACGAACATGTATAACACGGTAATTGAACGGATAGTCAGCCAAACAGCCAAGTATGAACGGTTTTTTGGCAATTATATGATAAATTAATTAGATACCGTTCCATGTTGATTAGAATTATTTATTTTAATTTTCAAGCGAACTTGTGTTTTAATTTATTTTAGAATCGATCCTAAACAGATTTGACTGAATACACAATTTAAAAATGTGTAAGCTCAAAATAAAGCCACTATTTGGGCGCATATTTTCAACATGTATCTTAATTCAGGGAACAGGTGTAACATATTAGCAACGCGGCAGACTACGCGTCAGCGTTGCTAGGCAACGCGGTGATGAGCCGGTTTCTATCTCTTTCTATGTCTATACACACTTCTCTCTCGTACACGTTGAACTCAAGCCGTCAGAAAATTTTGGGACGTGTGTTAAGCAATAACCAATAACATTTATAACACTGATCAACAGCCAAAAAATATCCTAAATAAAATCAACAAAATATTACTATTTTTAATGTGCTAAAACCGGAATGAAACTTATTTTTTCAATATTAGTTCAAGTTTTAGAGATACGGTAATTATATGTGTGCCTGCTGTGACAGTGTTAATATACTGTAATTCACAAGAATGCACGTGCTACATTTTTATATTCGGCAAGGAAAGATGATGTAATCGGCATGATTGTGTTACGTTCTACATACGTGTACATTATATTGTTTTATATTAGCCATTTTTTCCTCAGTTGGCTGACAGCGTTCATGCAAGATGTCTCGAAAGTGTGTAAACAATCCAGATCAGTTTTGTTACGTGTGTGGTGATGTGACTTTTGAGTCTCAGAGACGGTCTATTACTCCACTAATAACAAAGGCATATCAGCTTTATTTCGGTTGTAAACTAGGTGATCAAGACAAACAGTGGGCACCCCACATCTGCTGTAATACATGTGCTTCAAGTCTGAGGAGCTGGTTAAATGGCAAAAAACGGTCTATGCGCTTTGCTGTCCCAATGGTTTGGAGAGAGCCTACAAATCATATTAATGATTGTTACTTTTGCATGGTACCTTGTGTTGGACAAGCCACAGGTATGTCCAAGAAAAAAAAATCGGTTATTAACTACCCAAACATACCATCTGCGATGAGACATGTGCCTCACAGTGACGAAAATCCTGTTCCAAAACCCCCAGAATCCTACACTTGCGAATCAGAACATGGCGATCGAGTGATTCGTCAGGAAAAAGATATGCCATCAACGTCAAGAGATCCTGATTTTATACCGAGCACGTCATGCCACCAACCGCACAAAATAACACAGTCAGAATTAAATGATCTTGTAAGAGATTTAGAACTTCCAAAATGTAAGGCAGAGTTACTTGGATCAAGACTGCAGCAGTGGAACTTGTTAGAAGACGATGTTTCGGTATGTGTTTTTCGTAAACGCCACAAAGACTTAGAACCATTTTTCAATATGGAGAATAACTTGGTTTTCTGCAGTAACATTAACGGCTTACTGGCGGCTTTAAATATAAACTATAACCCAGAAGAATGGAGATTGTTTATAGACAGTTCAACATTGAGTTTAAAGGCAGTGTTATTGCATATTGGAAATATTTTACCATCTCTTCCTGTAGGGTATGCAGTTCACATGAAATAATCATATGACAATATGAACTACCTATTGACATGCATAAAATACGATGAGCACCAATGGCATATTTGTGGCGATTTGAAAGTTGTTGCACTTTTACTTGGGCTGTAGCTAGGCTACACAAAGTTTTGCTGTTTTTTGTGTGAATGGGACAGTCGGGCAAAGGCACTTCATTACACCAGACAAAACTGGCCTGTTCGTCAATTCCTAGAGCCAGGTCAAAAAAATGTACAGCATATGCCATTAGTAGATTCGAAAAAAAATTTATTACCACCACTGCATATCAAGTTGGGCCTAATGAAAAACTTTCTCAAGGCATTAGATAGAGATGGGTCAGCTTTTCAATACCTGCGTCAGAAATTTCCAAGACTAAGTGAGGCAAAGGTTAAAGAAGGTATTTTTGTTGGGCCACAGATTCGAAATATTTTGAAAGATACACAGTTTGAAAACACTTTAACAGGTATTGAAAAAACTGCTTGGAATGATTTCCGTCTGGTGGTCACTAATTTCTTGGGAAATAGAAAAGCTGACAACTATAAAACCCTTGTCAAAAATATGCTGTCATCGTATCAAAAGATGGGCTGTAATATGTCTCTTAAGATACATTTGCTACACTCACACCTGGTCTTTTTTCCTGACAATTGCGGAGCCGTAAGTGATGAGCACGGCGAACATTTTCATCAGGATATTTCAACAATGGAAAAAAGGTACCAGGGAAAGTGGAATTCTTCCATGCTTGCAGACTACTGTTGGACTCTTGGTAGAGATGCTCCAAAAACGATCCATAAAAGAACAGCAAAAAGACAGCGCATATAGTGATTCTTATAAGTATATGAATCTTGTTACTTTTTTAATATATCCTTAAAAATAAAAAGTTTTTTTTCTAAACCGCAACTAATTTTTTTATTTCATTGTCATTTTTGGATTCAGCGCCCCAAAATTAACAAAGAAGTGCACTTTTCCCACAAGATACAATTAAAAAACTAAAATTTGTTGTCCAGTGAATCTGCTGTTTTTAACTTATACACCATTCTTTCAAGATTTAAGACTGAGGTAGTAGAACCACCACAAGCTTGAAACAAATGACAACTATTTCAATGGTTTGGATATATAATTCACCATATAACTCACATACGAATATGATGAAAAAAAAACATTAAAATCAATTGATACTAACACTAAAGATGAAATTACAAAAGTACTATTGATTGATCCACTTATCAGTACTAGATGATAAAAATGATAACCATAAGGTGTTTGTTCCGGCCCAGACTTGTAATTATCGGAACAAAGATAAAAATGTAATTGTCCTTTGAGATATCACTAAATGAGTATAGGTAATGAGAACATTCAAGGGTTCATATTTTTGCTTTGCATTCAAAAGCGTTGACAGGATTGAGGGTTACAGACATAGCAGAACCCTACAGCAACAAAATCATATGAAGTCATATATGAAATACAGCTGTAAGGGCTCGCGCAGACAGAAAGCGTTCAAGCGTTCCGAGTTCTACGTTCCACGTTATTTGTAACTAATAGAGTCCCGCAGAGACCGCGCCGGTCAGTGCGAACGCTTGCGTTCTATTGTCAGAAATACAAAGAACTCGTCAGATAGCTTCCATAGAAAAATTAATTGATTTAGTATAAATACTGGCAATCTTTATTTTGTAGATATGGCCTTTCCCCAGTCGGTATCTTGTTTCTCTATTTCCCATTCCATATAATCATGCAATTCATTAAAACTGCTCAATGACATTCGGAAGTAAGTAAAAAAATCGTTCTTCATCTTCAAGCAATGCAGAAAAAAGAATACTGAACTCTCCTGTATCACCTCTCTCACAATTGATCGGATGCACCCAGTATCTTTTTTTCTTATTAGACTCTTCCAAACTCCTTCAAAGGAATGCTTCGTCTTCTGAAGACGAACTATCTGCCGCCTGTCTGTGTATGAACTCGTAAGAGGAGGAACGCGGCTTGAACGCTGAACGTTTGTCTGTCTGCTCGGGCCTTAAGAGCGACATGCTTTCAAGAAGGCTCAATATCTTTGCTGGTACTCGTGGTTTTTGAATGAATAAGTACTCAAATACGCAACGAGTTTGACTATGTATAATCCCCCATATTTGGCTGGCCAATGAAACCACATATTTGAAATTCTTCTTTAATGTAGTGCAGGTTATGATTATAACGGTGACCTTCTTCAGTACCATTCTGACCGAAACGTAATTACATTAAAGAAGAATTTCAAATATACGTGGTTTCATTGGCCAAACAAACATGGGGGATTGTCAACATGAAAACCACAGGATAAGTTTCAGATGTTACATTAGAATATGTCTATCATTTATATAATTACTAGTAGGGTAAAAAAACAACCACTCAGGTCCGGTTTGTCCATTCACCTTGCATTTCTCGATAGCATTGAGATACGTTTGATATATACGTAAATGCTTTATCAAAGTTCAATTTAACATATAAAAATTTGTTTTATAAAGCACTTGCATCAGTCATTCGCCGGCAAAGCTTTATATTTCGCTACCTTTTGGAAAAGTTAGTTTGAGTGTCTTAAAACGATATGTTGGCCATTATTAATCCAGATATTGAAAGATTAGTTGTATTTTCGGAAAATCAGGGTCTAATGATTAATGCTAGAAAATCACATATTATGTTGGTTGGCAGATTGAAAGACAATATTGAGCCCACTTTTCATGTCAAAATAGAATACTGTGAGAAATTTACGAGTAGCATTTGATTCAAATCCAAAAATTCAATTAATATAATAAATATAATTCTCAGGAAGTTCTATATGCTCATCAATATGGCCACCCTGTTCAACTTACAATATTGCTTTGTGAAGTACTAGTACCTAGCCATTTTAATTTTTGTAATATTATAGATTGATTCATAAATGACCGTAGTCTACGCAAGTTTCAAAAAGTTCCGCATATGTTGCTTGATGCCTGGTTGAATATGCGGCGTCGACGAGAGTTGCTTGCATGTAATCTTTTTCACAAAATTTTGTTTTTCAGCAACCACCATATTTATTCAATATTATAAATTTTCGCACTGATGTTCATAATTTAAATTTGCGGTTTCGGGGCTAAATAATTATCACCTTCTTCTCATCAAACTTATTATTTTTCTAGATTTTTCTCAAACAACATTTATCGGCTTTATAATCAA